TTCCAGTGTATTTTATTCTTCTATTTATTCATTCATTATTCAACTGGCAAATATTCATTTAGCAATAATTACATGCCAGATTATCAAGAGGCACAGGGTACACATGGGTGACACAATCTTTTTCCTCAAGACACTGTGGTCTGGTAGCGAGTTCCATCAATTGATCTGGCAATCATGATGAAGTCTAATCAGTGCCTCCTTGGGGAGAGGGGACTGTACTATGGGGCTTGGCATTGTAAGAATCCTGAAAGTGCTCCAGCATGGCTGAGGTACATTTGCACAGTGGGGAGTGGCATGGAATGCAGCCAGAGAGGTTGACCAACAATGGCATTTGTCTTTATCTTTAAGTGTCTGAAACACGATCGGAAACCCATGGAAAACTTCTCTTGACCTCTTCCCTTATTTCTGAGGATCATGGAAGCAGTTCCTCAAATGATTAGACCAATCTGATACAGGAACAGTCCAAGAGTGCCTCACCCTTCTCGCTTCCTGACTCAAATCTTATCTGCGAAAACATCTAGACACTCATGCATGGGCAGCATGGATGTACAGGGACCAATTTATGCCCTTCAGGACAATCCCTGACCAACTGAGAGTAGGAAATGATGAATAGATGTTTCCATTTTTCTTCCTCCAGGTGGGTAGTTCTGAGATGTATTTCACAAGGCTTCTCAGAAGGTCCTATAGGATAGAGCATCCAGTTTCTCAAAGGGGCAGCCAACTCTATTATATACTCTTGTATTGGTTTTCCCACTTTCTCTGTTTGACTCTTCCTTTCCCTTACTCTTGCTTCCTGGAGTAAGGGAAATAATAATATATATTATCATATACGTTATCTTCACATTAGCTTTTGTCTCACACTCTGCTTTCTGAGGAAACCAGGCTAAGTCAAGTAGAGAAAGACATATGTATATATGAGTATGTATTTGATATATAATACATCATGTATAGATAATAATTAGAAAGTAATATACATTTTATGTATATTAGAATGATATAATATATATTTCATGTATATGAGAAAGATAATCCTGGAGAACATATGAGAGTGTTAATATAAGATACAGGGCAACAAAGTAGAGATTTTCACAGGGAGGAGATAATAGGATATAGCTTGAGGTGTGGGAGATTGGAGAGGATTTTTAATGGAGATGATAAGGGAAGGCTAAGCAGGCAGATGGTACAATCCAAGGATGTATCAAGTCTCTTCTGAGACTAACCACAGACAAGAACTGGCTATTTATTTCACAGGGATGGTTGTAGGTTAAATTTCCATAATAAAAAAAAGTGACTATCTTTACATGTTAGACTGTGGCTATGAGAGGTTAGTCAAGCCAGTGTGGAAACGACCACATCTTTGAGAACTTCAGAGTCTTGCTCTTGCTAAAGTAATCCTATTGAAACATTTATTTACTTTTATATGCCATAAACATTGTAACTAAAAGTAAAACATATTTTGTCCTTTCAGGCAATATATATTTTAAAGTCCTTGAACTGGTATGATAGAAATATTTAATTACATGCTCCATTACATCCCATGCTTGTTATGACTAAAGTATAACTGAATTAATGAGGGTTTTAGAATTACTTCTTGTCCAAGACTCTTAATTATGCATTATATAGCTCAATGTATCTGTAATATTTTTAAACTGGTATAATTTAGAATCATCTATCATAGACCAGGGTAGTGAAGGAAATACCAGGCTTTTACTTGTAAGTAAAAAATAGTCTGACTCTTTTTTTTTTAAAGAGTTTATTTATTTATTTTTTAGAGAGGGAAGGGAGGGAGATAGAGATAGAGATAGAGATAGAGATAGAGATAGAGAGAGAGAGAGAGAGAGATTGAGATTGAGAAACACCAATGTGCGGTTGCTGGGGGTCATGGCCTGCAACCCAGGAATGCACCCTGGCTGGGAATCGAACCTGGGGCACTTTGGCTCCCAGCCTGCACTCAATCCACTGAGCTACGCCAGCCAGGGCAAAAATAGTCTGACTCTTAGAATTTTCTATTTAACTAGATGGACATACAATCAACCTTTCCATTTTTCTTCAAGTGCTATTATCTTAATAAATGTCCACATCAAATTTGATTTATTACTTTATCTAGCATTGAAATGACAGGAATGTTGAAATGATCTCCATCTGAAACAGGACCAAGGAAGCTGTCTTCTTACAAAGGGATAGCATTGGCTTTCTCATTCAGCCCAGGAGTCCTCTCCCCCGTGTGCTTTGGCTCTTTGAACTGTATGATAATGGACTCTAACTATGCCAAGTTCGTGCATATGAAATAAATTTAATAGCTGAGCTAGTTTACCACCCAGCAGCCTCTTCTCTCTATCTCCTTTTCTTCCATCTCCTTTTTATTGGATGCTTCAACCTCATTAGTATTTCAGGAAAAAACTGGATCCTGTCCATCATTTTTGTTGTTGCTTTCCATTCCCTGGCAGACAGGGCCTGAAATTTCAATAGAGGAAGTGGGGAGGGACACAACACATTCAGAGTTTATGAAAGACCTTATTTACCATCAAAGTGAAGGTTTCCAGATACTCCAGCCCTGTTTTCTTATGCTCTTATGTCTTTGATGAGGAATTAAGAACCTCAGCCAGGGCTACAGAAGACTCTGAAAGTTGCCTGGCAGAAGGCACTACCCAGTGTCCTGAAGCCGTTCATTACTTACCAATGATGTTGAGTACACTGAGGAGCAGGAGAATGGGCAGAAACTATTAATAATTCCTACACTGGGCACTTCTGAGAGAAGACTGAGTCTGCACACTTTAAGTGACTATTTTTCTGCCAGCTTCGTTGCACATTTTTTTTATTTTTTGCAAAGCAATCATTGCAGTTTGTCTTTTGATAGAATTACTTAAACATGTGACACTGTTCTACTCAATTGTTAATCTTTAGAATGGTGGCTCTCAGGTGTTAGCATGTCTAAGAAGGATCTGAAGATCTTGTCAGATTAGTTTAGGGCTCACATCTTTGAGATTCTCATTCAACAACATTGTGATGGGGCTCGAGAATATTCATTTTAACAAGATCTTGGGGAATTGTCCTATAATGATCTATGACCCACCTTAAAAAAATACTTGCTTGGAGGTCAAGATCTGTATGGTCTCAGGCCTTGGTACTAGGCAACACACAAAGAGGTCCTCAGCACACGTGTGTGGAACTGAGGCGCGTGCTTTGGGTGAGTAAAACCCCACTGATGATTTAAGCTCACTGCATTGCTCTCAGAGGTGAGACTGAAGTTTTAGTGGGTTGTGTATAAGTTCATTTTTTGGATAGAAAAAATTGCATAAACAGTTCTTCAGTTGGGGACAATTGGTGAGAAATATTATTTTATCTGGGAGAACATCTGATGCAACACATGCTTTATTCACTTACTTTTTACACTAGAAGAGGGTGCAGACCTAGGGAGGAGGAAATGCATCCAGTCCCTGCTGCCTGTAGTACATTGTGAAAGGTTCAATCGCGTTTGATTTCCATTTGTTACTGTCCCAGGTCTTCTGTTTGTTTGTTTATTGTTTACTAGGTGCTGTGAGGTCTGCTCTTTCATGTGCCTTGTCCTTTGTTCTTCTGCCACAGGGTGTGAAGCCATTTACTTATTTGTCCTTTGCTCATAAAAACCTCCAAATAGCCACGTGCAAAAGAGGGGAAAATCACATCTTTTCTACTGCTTCCTCACACATTATTCAAACTGAGTCCTCAGTATAAGAAGAAACGGACAGTCCCCATTCACTTCATTACAGAGGGACACAGTGATTCATCACAGACTGTGCTCTCGAAAGACATCGTCTGGAAAACTGATCACTATTTTAATGGCAATAATTGGAAAGTATCTTTATTTTTTAGAGTTTTGCTAATGTTTTCAACTATTGGAGCAAACTAATGTGCCACTTTCTTGCATCAAAACAATTCATTCTTCCATTTATTTAAATGTCATTTATTGCAGACTATTCAAAGTTGTTGTAAGTAGGAAAAATGACTGAAAAATACACATGAATAGTATCAAGACAAAATGTATATGGATTATTTTTGCTTGCTTGTTAAATTAATTGGAAATATTTAGTGCTCATTAGGCTCTGGATCTGTTTCAAGTGAGAAAAGGCAATAAACATAAACATTAAAATCAAAGACACACTCTCTGTTTCTCTCCATTTTCAAATCCTAGGAAGCCATCTCTACTTTTTTGATGAGCATTTGGTAACAACTTTGTCTTTATAATTAGCGACACTGTCTTAAATTATACCAGCTCTTAGAAACAGAACTGGCACAAATATTCTTGCCTCAGGTTGGGTTTACAAGCTAGACGTTGAAAAGAAGTTACAGACTTGCTAAAGGTCTCCCTTCAGAACAGCACAGGGCAATGGTGATGCTTATTGTATCTGGAGCTTATTGTATGGGCCAGGGCGGTCACTTTCCCATAGTGTCTCTGTTTATTATGCTAATTGACTCTCCCAGGGGCAGGCAGGACGGTGTCAACCCTGTGGAATATTCTCGGTTGGGGGGAAGTGGTGAAAGCAAACCTGTTTTGTGCCTTAATAAAACAAAAAAATCAATGTGTGTTTTTTTTTTTTTTTCAAAAACGGGAGGGTCAATACCATGGTTGTTTTTGTTCCCATCCAGTTATGTAAGCCTGGGGACTTGTCTCTCTGCCTTCAGGGTTTGTACAAAACACATTAAAGTTAAACAATAGGCGGGAGACACAGGGGCAACCCTGGAGCTGTGTCCTGGAGTGTGTCCTCCTAGGTTTGGGAATCTCCCATTAGTTCCATCTCAAGTACTAACTGTGTGTGTGTGTGTGTGTGTGTGTGTGTGTGTGTGTGTGTGTGTGTGTGTTTAGTTAGCTGGCACGCAACACACTTCCCCAGGGTTGTGTTTCCTTTTTCCTGAGATTTGGCGAAGGGTAAAGGGTCGGAGTCACATGGACACAAAGCATTTGATTAATGTCCAAGTCACCGCTGTAGCTGCCAGAGCCGCCTCCCCTCCAGCCGGGGCCGTGTGAGGCCGGAGCGCTGGGGCCAGGCGCGCAGGTCCCTGGCCTGAGCCCCATCTCCCGGGAGTTTCCTCCGCAGCGCCCCGCGCCTCCCACGCAGGAGTTCTAGCGAGTGCCCCGGCTTGTCCCCGCGCCCCAGCCGAATCCTCTACCCAGCATGTAAAGTCGCCCGTCCCTCCTTGGACTTTGCGGAGCCATCAACTTTCCTTTCCCACCGCGTGGACCAGACAGCGCGCAGCACTGCCGCCAGCCGGGGGTCCCACCGACCACCATGAACGACGAGAGCCGCGCGGACGGCCGCTCGGAGAGCGCCAAGGACCAGGAGAAGCAGCTTCGCCTGCGCGTGTGTGTGCTCAGCGAGCTCCAGAAGACGGAGCGGGACTACGTGGGAACCCTGGAGTTCCTGGTGTCGGTGAGTGCGCAGGGCGACGCCGGGGGATGGCGGGCGCGGGCCGCATTGTCTGCGCGGGGACAGGGACGGGTCCCAGCCTCGCGGGCACCTGAATCCGGCTCGGATGCCAGGTTCACGGTGCCTTGGCCCCCGCGGGGAAAGTTTAATACCTGGGGATGCACGGTGTTGCCAGGGCCTCGGAGAACTGCTAGTTTGGAAAGTTAGCTGGAATAAGAGAAGGCGCCTGTTCAGGGAATCCCGGCAGCCCTCATCTTTACCTACTCTTCTTTACCCCCGCCCTGGCCTGCTCGGTTGCTCAGGGCATCGCCCCCCCCCCCGCCCCCCCCGTCGCTCCTTCTCTTTCTCCCCTGGGGATTTTGTTAGGACTTTGACTTGCTGATTAAAATCACCCTGCTACATTCAAATACATTTAGTTTTTTTTTAAATCTTTGATTCTTCTAGAGTTTGAGTTCATTATTCAGATTCCATGGCAGTGAAGTCCCTTTAGTTAGAATAATCTTTGAAGCAGGATTCTGATGGAGGGTAGGCACAGAAAGAGCAGTGGGGTTATGATCTCTAGCAGCTGTTTGATATTAAAGCCACATGTAGTGCTTACCCCATCCCAGTCCTACTAACTCCTCCCCCACCCCTGGTTTAAATCAGTCCCCGTTCAGGTCCTGGGTCCCCTGTGACCACTGAGCCCGGGAGAGGCGCATAATAAAACTCATGTCAAACAACTTCAAGATTTCCTAGAACTGGCAGGAACTTTGTTTCAAAGTTTCAGCTTGGCTCTCTGGAAGTTGCCTTTGTAAACGGTTCATTCATTGTAGGATCAGGAGGGGCAAAACTGAGTGAAAAAACTTCTGAGACATCACTCAAAAGTTGAATTTTTTCTACTCACTGCTGCAAAGACAAAGAATTTGCGGATTGGCTTCTCTCCACCCAGATGCCCAGGAGAGTATCATTCAGACTCAGGAGCTGCAGCCTTTGCAGTCTCCCCCAAAGCTTCTAACCTTCCTCTTCCACCACCCTGTTGGGAAACCCCTGGTCCAAAGGAAAATGTTTCGGAGGCTAAACTTCCTGCTCGGTTTTCTCAAAGGTGTAAGCTTTCTGCTTATGATTATGATAGAGGAAATTAACTGCTTAGCTATGGCAAAAAGGAAAGAACATTTTCTCAAGGGACTTAAGATGCATGGGTTGGCTTCTGGTTAATTTCACAAGTTAAAATCAATCTACTTGAGCCCCAGGGACTACATTCTTTAGAAATATGTGGGCACTTGAGAATATACTGGTAATTGGTAATAAGTAGAATCGTACACTTCCATGCAACAATGTCAAAAAGGCATGTTTTTAAAGGAGATTTGACTTTTAATAACCTCAAATATGGCTTTCCGAAACTTTGGTGGTAATGAAGTCCTTTGACTTACAAAAATCTGAATCATGTTTTAAATTGCATTAGTTACTCCTTTCTAAAGCTTATGAAAAAGATACTGTGCAGATTCCTAATTTAGAGAAATAGCTAACCTAAGCTACCTTGAAAACCAAGTTGATCTTTATTTAAAATATCATTTTTCCCTTTAATGTTAACACCTGCTTATTAAAACTGCAAACTAATTGCTATACAGAGCTAAGTAAGAGATTGTGGGAGACATAAAATAAATTATATTTTCCTATTTATAAGCAGATCATCTTATAATTTCATTCTTCTCATCTGATTCAGAAATTATGGACTTTTCCTTTCCTTTTGTCTACTATTTGTGCACATATGTGGTTATACACACACGTAAACACAAGCACACTGACTGGCCCAAAAGTCATCCTTAACAAAAGTTCACCCTTCTGTATAGTTTTACAACTATTCAAATCCTAAGAGATACTTAATATACTATTAGATTTTCTTTTTTGAGAATTATTTATAGTAACATTTAATTTCCATGTATTTTATTTGTTTACTTTCAGTTGATGTAGTCAATCTAGTTATAATTTTAGCCTAAGATAATATGTACCAAGAGCTTTAAAAATATTTAAACCCTGTGGTCTGGTAATTCATCTTATAGCACAAGTTCATCCTAATGGAATAATTAGAAATGCAGACAAACAATAAGAGTAATTTAAAATAATTAGCTGTAGTATGAAGTAAGTACTGTGGTAAATTTGTTGCAGAAATTTGATAGTGCATTCTTAAGTCAAATTTAAATATTTGTTATTTTAGTAATTTAGATTTCTGTCATTGCCTCAAGCCACTAACATGGATGAAAGGTAACACCTATCTTTATTACAAAGAAATAGAAAACATAATTTTACCAAGAACATATTTTTACTTGTGGGCCCATAAATAAGTCAACACAATGGTATTATTGCCCTTGATTAAATGATCGTATGGCCTGAGGGGATAATGTTTCTTACTAAGATCTTTTACTTCTGATTCCTCTCTCTTCTCTTTTCCAACCCTTCACCTCTGAAGGAGAGAGCGCCTTTCGCCACCTCAGTCCCAGATAGTCCGTGAACATGGCCTTGTTCTCTGTACATAGACTCAGTACACGGGCTCTCTCTCTCTAGTTGCCACCCAGGAACACACTTCCTGATTGGACAAGGGACTGTCCTTTAAGTTTGCTGCTGTCATTTAAAGTGGCTCTCTTCCCAAGGAAGCCATGCTTTCTCAGGGCTCCTCTTTTGCTCTTCCCTAGCCCTTAGTTACTTGCTGGATTCCTACTGGGCCTTCCAGGCTTAGTTCAAGTCCTGCAGAAACCTCTCATGAACCTTCTCTCTCTGCTGCATCCCTGCGAGGTTAGAGTGCTCATTGCTGTGTACTTACTCTCTGCCCTGTGGTTACTTCTTCCTTAGCACCAAAGACAGCCTATGCATTTATTTCCTTACCTTTGTCTCATTCTACTAGGATGTAAGCTTCTTGAGGGCTACATTTTATTCATCTGTGTTTCCCCAGAATGTTGTATGGTGCTTGAGACCTCGTAGGTACACAGTACATGCTGAATGAATGAATGAACGAACGAATGAACAAACAAGCAAATTGACCCATCTTCTAAATTTCTACCCATTTTTAAGGACAATTTCTTAATCCTTAAATTTCTGATTTTTTTTCTTACATTTTGTCTGTATAGATAGTGGAATAATTACTTAAGCTCATATACATATGTACTTTTGTAACAAAATATTTTAAATTAAACATTGTGTCTTCATTTAAAACAGGAACATGATTTACCTCAGGCACTGAAGTTTAAAAACTTTCTAACACAGTGTTATTTGAATTCACTGTATTCTAAATTTTTATTGGAGACTATGGATAGATTACATTATCTGGATTAATTATTTTAGGTCAAAAATAAAATGGTGGAGAGTGGCTGAATAGATTATATATTCTTGTTTTGTTTGGGAAATGAAATTTTGTGTTTCATTAGAAATACTCTAATAAAACATTTCTTCTAGAGAAATGCTATCGTAGACCTAGTATTTAATGTCCTAAGTCTTGACAAAAGTAGGCTGCAGCCAGCATCCTGTCTGCACCCTAGTCACAGGGCCTGTGAAGTTTATGATGGTTTCATAGAACCATCTGAGTGGATGGAAAAAGGGTAGATCGGGGCCAACCTCGTGGGTCTCACTTCATAGCAGTTGCATCGGGCTTAGCACTCAGAAGGACCTTGTGCTAGGTTTAATGCTCTGCCATCACCATCTTGAAATTCTTGCGAATTCTGTCTTTGAGCTTGTCTTTTGCAAGTGAAGTCCAGTAGGACAGTGGAGTGTGAGCAGAGTGGATATAAGAAAGAAGGAAAAAACTTCGTATTTCAGCACCTTTAATAACACTCTTTTTCTCTGCTTTTTGAACAGAAGGCCTCCCATTTTTGCTTTGCATTGGGCCTGGACAGTTGCGCAGACATGTTTCACTGTAGCAAGCAGTGTTGAGGCAGGATGACCGTGTTCGTTCTTGTCTAAGTGGGGACACTTTTGAGAGTGAGAGTGCTGTTAACAATGACGATGGGAAACGGATTGTTCCTGGCAAATCAGCACACTACGGGCACTTTAAGACAAAGTTAGGTGTCTTGCCATAAACTAAAGATACTGAAATTTGTTATCAGCCCAGGCTTTAACGTCAGATATGCCACAATAACTTTGGACACATTCCTGAACTTTTCAAGCCCCATTTTCCTCATCTGGAAAGTGGGGAAACAGTAAATGTCTCCAGGTTGCTGGGAGGGTGAGATGATGTACGCATGGGGCTCAGCCCAGAAAATGGCTCCCGGAGAGCTTGATGAATAGTCACCGTTGTTCACTCTGGTGCTGCAGTCGTCATGCAGAGCCACACATGCTGCTCATCCTCAGTGTATAACTTTTGTCTCTGTTACATTCTCCTCTACCTGTGTGCTGTGTCTCAGAGCCTCTTCTTGGCTCCCTACCCTGCATTTCTTTCTGTCAGGGCACTCCTTCCCATGCTATTCTGTAAGTGCTCAGTGGTCTTTAAGACAGTAAGAACACTTTATGTCTATGTAACAACTGTAGTAAGTATGGTGCTTTACAATTCACCCTAAACAATTGCATATTTATTACCTTATCTGGTCTGATATATGTGTTCCTTAGCTCTTTCAAATGGTGCTCTCTAGAGCTCCAGGGTGCTGTGTTTTGGCTACAGGGTCCTCACAAAGGGCTCAGGGGAGCTGAATTGTGTGGATTCAGGCTCTCTACCCTGGCTTCTAGCATAGCTCCACCTTCTTCTGATTTGTGTTTTTGCTAAAGTTGAGAAACAACACTTAACTGGATGGTAAACTCCAAGAGAATAGTGACTTCCTATGTATGCTTTTCTTGGCCTAAAAGTAGTGCTTTGTAAACAGCAGGTGCTCAAGAAAACAAACAGGCAAATAAAGCAAAAGCAAACGAAACAGTTTGAATGAATCTGAAAACAACTTCTTTCAGTCATGATCTAACTATTCCAGGCACAGATTAATTGATTCAACACATTATGTTAAGGCTTATGTTACTGGCTGTATTGTGCCCCCGCACCCCACTTCATG